CATAAACTAAGAACACTTTAAAAATATAACATATAATAATATAAGACAATATGTTGAGGTATGTATATACAGTGTGCAATAAATATCTCATAATATATTCACAGATATACATTTCAGAGGTTGTCTAGTATACCTAGAATACTAACCACAAAATAAAAATTATGTAAATATGCATATAAAACTAAAATTATATGAATCAGACTAAACTCTCTAGCTCTTCACTTATGAATAAGTTAGAATGAAGTATACAAACATTTGTGATGTTATCTTTGGGCTACTTATCTAAAACTTTTCCTTCTAATATTCTATATATCACTAGAGGGCACTGTGGTATTTAGGCCACTCTGACCTCTTTAAGCAATGTAACTATTGGAAAGGTCTTCAACTTCCGTACAATGTCAGAAAGGTTAATAAGGATGTTGTAAAAGAAACTGCAACATTCAAATTTGAACAGAAGCTCAAAATATGTAATAGCCTAGAAAATAAAATCAGTTCTTTTATCAGTAAGTGTCAACACGTTTTCACAAAGAACAGATTTCATGGAACAACTGCACTTTGGCTGCCTTACTATCATTTATAATGGATTAACAGTTGGAAACACCTTTAGCCAGCAAATTTTATATTTATGTTTGAAAAATCAAATTGGGGACACCATGTATTTAAACATAAAAACATATATAGACTAGTCTTTTCTGCTCTAACCATTGGATCAAAAGTTTCTGTTGTGCTAACTGCAGATGATTTCACTGCAGAACATTTTGACATGCAAATGATAGCAATTAATGTGTTTGAAATAATTTATGATTTCCGGCTTACTTCAACATGTATTAGCATATACCTGGTTTCTTTAACACACACTTTGTTTTTCCAAAACCACAAACATAGTTGCTGGAATTTCATGTGGAAGTGCTTAAGGGGTTGAAAGTTAACACCTTTGTGAGCTGAGCTGCCTCACAGTTGCTGCTAAACAAAAGCCTCTTTGTAGAAGCTTTCTTGAAATGTTTTCTTAACATGTTCCAAGTAGTTTTAGGCAGGCAACTAAAGTAAACAAGATGTTACCATGATAAAAACACTTGTGAAAACATTACAGAGTGCACTTAGTAGTTTCTTTCATAGAAACCCTCCTTAGTTTCATTTAAGTTAAATTCACATGAAGCAGGCAACCAGCATCTTTCTATGTAGGTTGCCACATCTCTCAAAAGGGGTGTGTATCCCATTTAGAATACATAATCAAATTACAGATGTTATTCTGAGACTGAAAATACCCAAATCATGATAGAATTAAAATAAATACAGGCACGGTTTGGTCCTGCACTGCAAGATGTGCCCTGGATACCAGCGTATCTTGACAAGCACGCCACTGCCCATCTGAACAAAGATTTCCCCAAACTAGCAGTGCTGTAAAGGGAGAACCGAACCCTTTCCTGTACATAATCTTTAAAAATACACGGGAATGAAATACAGCTTATCAATTTTTAACATAATTTCCTATGATGCTGTTCTTTCATTTCAGATTACGATGTGGGTAACATGTAAACATATGATACAAGGCGTGTCTGCTCCCTAAAGCCTTCACCTTGGTTTTGCGGAGGTAGGAATAAGGCTACTGGATCACATCAGGGAAACTGGACTTGTTTTTGTTTTTTATATTACCTAAGTATTCTAGGCAATGCAGGGTGCAACTATTTCATTAGACTTAGAAGAAGCACCTGCTGATATCAATTAGCTCTTACTGATACAGCCACTGTATAATAACCAATGGCTAAGAGATTACCAAAACCCACAAAAAACTAAAACTGCAACTTATTTGGAAAAGAAATAGGGAAATAAATGCATACACTAGCCTGTGTGTCTGCTGGTTGTGATAAGCATCCTCCTGTTGGCTGTGAGTGAAAGACAACCAGGATTGTTATTTGTACAGTATTTATCTTTGAAATCAAGGGCCCTGTGGTATACCTCACCTTGGGAACAAACACTACAGAATGATCACAGAAGAGTGTCAAATCTCTGTTTTTGATTTACCAACAGTTATGATATTTCTTCCTCAGGAGGAAAAAAAAAAAAGAACCATGATTTTAGACCTTCGAGTCCTTTTTCTCCTTTAACTACGGGGCATCATTTTATTGGCATATAGCGCTTTCATTCCGCATATAACTTCTCTTCACTCTCTAGAACAGACCCTTTCACTTGGGTGAATGAAATTAAGTAATGCTCAACTGACATGGAAACTGTATTTCACTTAGTAGGGGCTATATTTTTTTTATCTTGGGCTGGCTATTAAAAGACCCGCGCCTTCAAAGATTTTACAACTACAGTGGGTACAATTACAATTGTCTACCGTTATGAAAGCTTCAACCATTTTCAGCATTATTTCCTACCTATCTTTTCAGTAAATAATAAACTTTCAAAAATAACAATAAAATGTAAGGGCATCCACTCCACAATAGGGGCAAGAAATCTGGAGGGCTACAGTATCATTATATAAAGTGCTACCCACTTCTCTAGCAATGTCAATTTGGTGCCTGGAGATATCCATTCTGGATACATTCTGGGTGAAGTATCACACAGCACTGATATCATTTTGTAGAGAGATAATCCCTTGGATTGTAGAATTTGTGTACTGGGAAAATTTAGGCAACTCAACAGGTATAAGAAATACAGTATGCACTATTTTTGCTGTTGTTGTTCAGAGACAATTTAAGAGAGGGAAAAAAGATACTTCAAAACTGGAAGTGGAAAAAGAATCTAAATATGGAGGTTTGGATGTCTTAGGGAAAGTACAGATGGAACCTTTTGCCTGTAGGCTATGGCTCAAATTTAGCCAAGGTTATAAATTACCTGAAATTGTTACAATCTACTGGTTGTTCACAGATCTCTATGAAAGGTGTGTGTTCTCAGTCCACCTCCCGGTGGGACAGATGAACATACCACAGATGTATCACCACAATTGACACTAATAGGAAACCTTTCTTATAGTGTCAGCAAAAAGCCCAATGACTGAATGCACCAACACTGAACTACCCATCATTCATAAAGGTGGCCCCACCGTGTTGGGGGTGAGGGGTTGGGGCACACAGACAGGTAGTCTACGCTGTCCCTATCCATGCTGCGTTACCTAAGCATGGCAGAATCCGGCTCATTATCGTGCTCAGTACTATCTTACTCCATAAGTAGTCTTACTAAAATTAGTGGGGTCCAATCCCAGAGAAGAGACTACTCAAAGTGAGTAAAGGCGGCAAAATCTGCCCCATGTGAATAAACAGAGAATTCCAGTCTCCAAAGCTGTCAAATCCAGAACCTTTCCGTTCACTAAATGTAATGAAATTTAGAATTGTTTTAAAGAACTAAATGTTATAGAATGGCATATGAATATAAATGAGCTGGCAAGTATGAGAGATTAGCATTTATTTCACTAAGTGAACAACAGGATGAACTGAAAGAAATGAGGCCACTCTTCATGGAAATCTATGACTAGTACCTTCTTATTTTGTAATCCTCTTATAATGAGACCCTTTTCATGACTGCACCACTCCTTACTTGTAAAGTATGCTTATACAGGGCCTGTTCCTGCTCTCACTGAAGTCAAATGGGGGGTTTGCCAGCGACTTGATTGGGACCAGGATTGACCCATTGTGTTTTGGAAGCAAAAATTTTAATCTAGGCCTCAACATACCATTTTAAAAACAAAACAAAAAAACACAACAAAATATTTTTCAGAACTGTCCTGAGAAAGAACAGACATATCTAAGGCCTGGTCTACACTACCCCCCCACTTCGGACTAAGGTACGCAAATTCAGCTACGTTAATAACGTAGCTGAATTCGAAGTACCTTAGTCCGAACTTACCGCGGGTCCAGACGTGGCAGGAAGGCTCCCCCGTCGATGCCGCGTACTCCTCTCGCCGAGCTGGAGTACCGGCGTCGACGGCGAGCACTTCCGGGATCGATCCCAGAACATCGATTGCCTGCCGCCGGACCCTCCGGTAAGTGTAGACGTACCCTAAGACTGTTTCCTAAAGATTTGGGAATGAATTCTGCTCCGGTGTTCATCTCAAGCAATTCTGTGGATTTCTATGAATTTATTCCACTTGGATAGCATTGTAAATATGACAGTAGAATTTGGCCCTTTGTGCATTCAATCCACAAATGTTGCTGGGGCATTTGGTCTGTGTTGGATGTAACAACAACACAGTCATAGCAAATCTAGGAGTTGCTAGCACACATCAAAATTCAAGAGGAGCCAAATGTAGCAACAGTCTAATTGGGCCTAGTGATCCACTCAGAGATACATGTGATGCAATATTAACACATTTACACTTCAGCTTTGAGGGAGGAAGTGGATACTTGCAGAAGAGCATTGTGAGATTTATGAAAGCCTTCCCTTCCCTGTGTTGGGATCCAGGCATTACCACACACTAGCCAATAATGCACTGGTGATGCAACATGTAAAACTGTATCCTTTGGCAGTGAGAAAAGGTCAGCAGAAAATTGCAGGGGCCTAATAAATATAATTACAGTTTATTTTTAGTAGTGTAGACTTTGTTCATTAGTTACTTATTTGACATAAATTAATTTCACCTGACGTCTTGCAATTCTCTCTGACCAATTAAGGTGTTAATATAAGACTAAATTTCATAATTAATTGAAATAAAGGTTAAATTAAAGTTGAATTGTGTAAAATTTCAGTAATTTAAAAAAAATTGGAATATTCAAATAGAAAAACACTTGAAAGTAGACTGAAGAAATTCAAACACTATGTTTTATAGCAGTATCGTATACAGGAGACTATTTGAGTTACAGATGTCCTTTTTTCTAAAGGGATAATTTACCATCCCCTATTAAAATGTACATTAGACATAATCCAAAACCAACTGAAATTAATGGGAGTTTTCTATTGCTTTCAATGAGCTTGGGATCAGGCCCTTGGTGAGTGAGTGACAGCATAAAAAATGACAGGACATGCTCAGGGTAAAATATAAGTGCCAAAAAAACCCCACTTACTTTAGAAATGACTGGAAGTCTTCACAAACTGCTTCACAGCCTGGCCATTTGCATACACCATGTCCATAGAGCGGATGGCTATGTGAGTGCTCCTCGTGGGATAAACTGAAGGAAAGAAACAAAAAGAAAGGAGGAGAAGCATTGTAACTGAAGGTCTGAATAAATTCATCTTGGCAAAGATGCTAACAGCAAAACACACAGGTTGAACACCACAACAAATAGAGGATCCAAAAATATACCATTACAGTTCACGAACCCTATTTACCCTGCCCTTGATTTCTAAAAACAAAATTAAGTATCATTTGCAGACTGAATACATGTGCCATCCAAAATCTCTCTTGTATGTACCTCCTACATTTCATTCATTAACTAAAAGCTTTGTAAAGAATTTAAATGAACACGGAAGGGGACAGACTTGCTTAAAACTCTACTTGATATTTTGATGAGAAATTTATGAATACTACACATTGACAGTTCGACTGCATCCGAATGAAAAGCTATTCCTGAACAGCAGCACAGTGTCTTAAAATACAATATATCCAGGACTTAACATTCCAAATTATTATATAAAGGAAAAGAACCTGGCGTCTGAGCTCTATTTTTAACACCATATTGTCCATCTAGCATTTTCTTCTCTTTACTATGCTGCCCTTTTTGCACTAGAACAGACTTTTTACACTCTACTAAAGTGAATCACGAATGTTTTCAAATGTAAAATTCATCGTAAAAAAGGAAACATGTAATAATCAAAGAATTCTGCAATACCAAAAGGTTAGCAGGGACTAGTACCATGTCTAAGCTTTGGAAGAAATATCACAGTGCTTACCAACTACTGAAACTAAGGTTAAAGAAAAAAATTCTTATGAACATTAAGGGGTTAATCCTCCAGTGGGATTCCAATCAATACGTAATGATTTGACTGCACTGATCCAAGTCATGAGACGCTTTGATCCAGGCCATGAGGTGCTCAGGGAAATGTATCTGTTGCACTAACTGATGAACCATATTCTAAAATATCTTCTTTATTCAACTTCTGCATGGAAACTTCTTAAGTAAAGGAAATATTTTTGCAACAATTTCCGTAACCTTAGATGGCTTTAAGCATTAAATGCCAAAATAATATTGAGGGCTCTATTTTATACTCTCTCACACACATCTATTTTTCATAGCAAATCTTTTTGCTACAGCGCACTTCTGCCGTATTATGAACTTCAAACACACACAAAGGATATGACTGCATACCAGCACCTAGGTGGGGTTTTATGACTTTTTTTTATCCTGGATTACAGGTATAGTTATGGATAAACACCTACATTTTGCCATCTTATGTCTATGCACATGTGGAAATGTCATTTGTTCTTGTTCTGGAACATTATCTCACCATGTATTACAACAATGATTACAGTTACATTCTTTCTTTTTCACCGGATATGAGAACCACACTGTTGTCTCAAACACTCCCTATTGTCTCAAACAATAAGAAACACATGAGAATGTTCCTCCAAACCTCCCAGCTTCCATTACATCTCATCTTAGGCCCAATGGAAATCTTTGGACAATTGAGGGACACTTAACACTTTCTGAAGGTAAAAGGTGTTCGGAAAAAATATTACAAAAATGTGCATAAATGTTAATTTCCATTTTTCCATCTTTTCCAAGCAGCTCTAAAACTCAGCAACCTAATTGTCCTACAAAACATAGGTGGGGTGACCAGATATCCCGATTTTATAGGGACAGTCCCGATTTTTGGGTCTTTTTCTTATATAGGCTCCTATTACCCCCTACCCCCCCATCCCGATTTTTCACATTTGCTGTCTGGTCACCCTAAACATAGGAGGCTCAGAGGGTCACAAACACCTTGTCTATATGGGACCTTTTTTCAGATTATCTTCAATCGGTTTTTAAAACAAACGAGGAGGGAGAAACTATAGCTGGTGAGTTGTTAAAAGAATGAAGGAACCAATCCACTCTCTGCAAGGAAGTTGGAAAAATGTTATATCACATGTGTATTCTCAATTGAAAAACAATGTGCCTGGGTGAAGGAACATAGTCAACTCAAGCCAGATACGGTGCAGAGTCAGGTACACTCTTTGAGGATGTGGAAGGAGAAGAAGAATTTAAGAATACTGAAGTGTTTAGTAACATTACTTTTTATATCTTAAAATATGAATAAAATGCTGCAAACCTCAGGAGAAAATGAGAGAAAAAAATCTACATCGATATCTCGTCTTTATTTTTATTTTATTAAGAGGTTCATTTGATCATGACAGGCTAAACAATGAAATCCAGATAAAAGGCTAGGCTTGATAGTTACAAACTCAAAACCAAAACAAATAAACTTGTATATCACAGGCCCAGTCTACACTTAAAAGGTTTTGCTGGCACAGCCATGCTGGCTAGGAGTGTGCAAAAATAGCTATGCTGGTAAAAGCATCGCGTAGACGGGGTTATTATATTGGCAAAAAATGTCCTTTTGCTGGCATTGCTTATTTCATTTGGGGAACTGGTATAAGCTATTCCGTGAAAGAAACAGTTTGCCAATGTAAGCTGCATCTTCCCTATGAGTGTTTGCCAGTATAGCTATACTGGCAAGCCCTTTGTAGTGTAGACAAGGCCTCAGTCTATTTACTCAACAGCATAATAAAGCTGGATACATTTTAGGACTGAAGTTTTACTAGGAGCATTTGCAGTCAATACTAAATGTAGACCCGGCTGTTCTTAAAATTAACAGATTTTTAATGTGGTTTGTTGTGTTTTTTATCAACTAGTTTTACAGCACAAGGATAAAGGGAGGGAAAGTAAGTTTTGATGTTAACATCCCATTAAGATCAATGAAGACATTCATAGCTACGCCAGTGGTACAGTTTAAGTGTGTTTGTCAGACTCAACAAAACTTTAGCATGTCAATTTACATAGTGAATGTTACACACACAACCAAACTGACTAGGAAACTGTGACACGTAACAAGACAAAGAAATTTTCAAAGGGTTCTGCAGGGTTTTCAGCATTGTAAATCCCATTATAATGCCAGTGGGAGTCATACAGTTTAACCACCTAAATGGATTTTTTAAAATTAACCTCTTAGATTCTAAAGGCTACAGCCAAGTCTCTGGGAAGATCCCAGGATCACTATGCATATTGTTTTAAATTGGGGTACAAATCTTTTTTTCCCCCCAAGGATCTTCTGTATGACAGGGAGGGCACTACCGTACTCTGCCCCAAAACGTTCAAAGTATGTGACTGAAGGTGTCTATGTGAATGCAGAGTTTTAACTATATCCATGGGAATTCCTTATGTTAACCATAAATGGAAACATGAAAAGTCAACACACTCACAGTATATTTTAAATGGCATTATGCCTAAAGCACACATACAAGGAAGATTCCACCACCATTCAACAATGAACAGAAATGCTCAAAGTTTTTTTGGAAGTAGCTATTTTTAACAAAGATTAAAAATGCAAGCCCTTCTGGTAGTTACTTTTTTGAAATTACTGGTTCCTTTACTTCTTTGTCCCTGCACTATTCTTGGATCTTTGGTGGTGTATTTTGGGGACTTTCACATGCCCAGATAAGTGTCCTGTTATTCAATCTGGCCCATCCTGCTTCTATTGATAGTATTAAATATTGCCTGTTTGTTCAAGGAAACTAGAATCTTCAAAAGGATTACTCCAGAAAAAGACAGAAGAGCAGAACAAGATTATGTACTGCATTTGGCATAATGAGGAAAAGACAAGAAGAAAATGAAAAATGAATTAAGAACTTGATTTTTCTTGAACTGTTCCAAGTACTAGACTTTGGGCCTAATACATTAAAGACATTGTTCCAAAACATTTGTTTGTGTGCAAATATGACTTCTAAAATACTGCCACATACAGAGAGACCACGGACACATGCAGATTGTAGAAGACAAGAATAATGTCAGGAAGAACAAGTAAATCATTTGTTCCTGATCTTCCCCATTGATTTCTAATGACACTGAAAGAGCATGTGTGTGTTTCTCTCCCTCTCTCACACACACACACACACAAGTTCACGGATAACCTGCCATGAATATGTGTGATGTACAACAAGTTTTTGGAAGTAAATCATATAGCACTACATGATTTACATAAACAGCAGAGGTATGCATGGCATAGGATCAAGACAGATCTCTGCACAGTTGCTTTTTCTATGCCCAGTGGATTTGGATTGCCCCTTCTTATTTGTAAATTATCTGTTGGTGAAACGCTTAACAGAATGCATCCAAAGTAATACAGGGGCATGATAAGATTAGACGCAGGCACATGAAATACAATACTTCAGCCAAGCAAACTTTGTTGTGTAATTCTGTTTATTAATGACATGGATCATGGAGTAACAAAAATACAAATGATAAACCAGAAAATCCTTAACACGTGTCCACTTAACATTTATTTTTGAGGCTTTCAATGTCCTATCTCCATGCAGACTCCCTGCAACTGCTCATCCAGGTGGGATGAGGCGGACAAGGGACAGTCTGGCACTCTTATCTTCAACCCTGTCTTCATCATCCACCTTCTAGATGCTCACAACCTGTCTTCTTCAAACAAAGCACTGCATTGCGCTTCCTACCTATGAGGGCCCTCCTCAGGCTTCAGAAGTAAGCTCACTATGTGCACTCTACCTCCAACAAATAGTACTGTTAAATAAACCTGTAAATAAACAGAAGCCCTTCAATTACTGCAGCCAGTTTAGCTTTTTAGGTTTGAGACACGAAATTTCTACAATTGATTGCTCCATTTCTGATACCTGAGCTCCACATTGTAAATACAGAACCACATTTTCCCCCTGGAGAAACCACAGATAGCAAGGCCCAAATTGAGAAAGGAAGTGACAGTACCCCTAAGATACACAGTACCACTATCTTGGTGAGAAGAGTGGTACTTGGTTTCCCAAGTGTCCTGTGCTGATTGAAATTCTGACATGAACGGCTAGAGCCACCATGCTATTCAGCTGCAAAAAGCAGCAGCTTACTCTCTGTCCAATTCACTTGTTTTCCCACCATATTCTAGATCTAAGAGCACCACTCGCAGTGCAAAATTTCGTCTCTTAAGTCTCCATTCTTTGGCCAACTTTGACACTCAT